TTATTGTGTAGAGTTACTTTGCACTGTAGACAGTTTTTACAGTTGGTAGTTTTGTTTCTTGAGTGTGGGAATTGTGAAGTCTTAATTCTTATGCTGGAAGGAACAAGAATCAGAACAACATTGTACTATCCCATCAAGTTCTCCAGAGATGGAGAGTCCTCCCTGAAGTTTGTCAGTATTGTTCTACATCTCTAGATAATGGATTGCTCTGAAGACAGTCAGGGGCGGCTCTATGTATTTTGCTGCCCCAAGCATGGCAGTCAGGCGGCTTTCGGCGGCGCCCTTGCGGGAGGTCCGCTGGTAACGCGGATTCGGCGGCATGCCTGCAGGAGGTCCGTCGGTCCCGCGGCTTTGGCGTATCCGCTGCCGAATTGCTGCCGAAGCCGCAGGACCAGCGGACTTCCTGCAGGCATGCCGCAGAAGGCTCCCTGACTGCCGCCCCCACGGCGACCGCCAGGCTGCCCCCCACGGCTTGCCGCCCCAGGCACGTGCTTTGTGCACTGGTGCCTGGAGCCGCCCCTGAAGACAGTTGAAGCCCACCTCCAGCCCAGAGAGTGAGGAATTTTTTGGTGTCTTTTTAATCCCTTGCAAATGAAATGCTTGTGCAGAAATAGCTGAATATTACTACAGTATAATTGCTTTATAGTGAGTAACTGACACATTGCTTTTCCCCACTCTGCATCATTCCCTTTTATTCCATTGACTTATATTTTAAAAAAAATCCCATTTGTATGAAAAGAAGTCTATTTTGCAGTAATAGGAATTCAACGAGTGAAATCTTCCCTGATCAGAGACCAACATATTGCCCTAGGAAGATGTTTTGCTGTGTAATCTCCATGGTTTGTGTCCTTGTACTCCCCCCCCCCCCCCTTTAAAACCAAGTTCTTGAAGGGAGGACACAGTTACTTTATATGTGGCAAAGAACTCAATCTTGGATTCCCTATCTTCATTAACAGTTCAATAAACAGAGTACTGTTCTTAAAACAGGAGACTCAGTCCAACTCTGCTGTACATTAAATGGCTATGAATGATAAAGATAAATATTTTATGACATTTAATATCTCTCTTGGCTAGAAGCTGCTGTAGCCTATTTTAGTTTGTTCACCATGGCATTAATGTAGTTTCCCGTACATGTTTCACTGGTTGTCATGTTGTAAATATATTTAGAGTCCCATCCTGTGAACACTTCCACATTCGTAACTATGCTCAAGGAAGGTAATGCTTTTGAAGTCAATGCGACTAGTACTGGAACTAAATTTTCACTACATTATGGTTCATTGAGCGCCTATTCTTTACTGATTCAGCAGTGTACACTGTAAATTTAATCAAAGGAGTTCCGTGAGAAAGGATACAGTGGTTGAAAAGGTTCTCAAAGCTTATGCACAGGTACAATAAAACACAGATTTACTGAGAACCAGTTAGCAGTTGAAGCAGCTTACCTCCCATCCCCACCTCTAGTATTTCATGTGCCTCTCCTCAGAGACACTGTTGTAGGTCCCCCAATCATGGATCGCGGTGGAACAGGGACGTGTCTTTCACTATGCTGACGGATGTTTTGGGAAGCTGGTTGACTGGCTAGCTCCTTATTGAACTCAAGGCAGGAGTTACTAGAATTGCAGATATTACAAAGCTTGCTGGTCAGTCAAACCACTTTCCCTGATTTTTATGAATCCCTTATTTTTCCCAAATATTTTAGCTGTCTCCCTGAAACCTTTGGAAAATTGACACTATTCTTAATAACAACGCGGAGTCCGGTGGCACCTTAAAGACTAACAGATTTATTTGGGCATAAGCTTTCCATGGGATCTTTCCACGCATCTGAAAAAGTTGGGTTTTTTACCCACAAAAGCTTATGCCCAAATAAAGTTAGTCTTTAAGGTGCCACCGGACTCCTCGTTTTTGTGGATACAGACTAACACGGCTATCCCTCTGATGCTATTCTTAATAAATTTATAATCAGCAGATAATGACTAGAGCTGATATGAACTGTGTTCCTGCTAGTGAGCTTTAGAATTAGACATATTTTTTGGTGAGATTTCTGCCATTCATTTCCTTTGGTCAGGCCAAGTCATCAAATTGTTAGGTTCTCAGATACTGCGGTAGTGGGGTAACTTATAAGTACCTGAGAGAGAGAGAGATCAGTACCAAGCCTAAATGTATCACTGTGCAACAAAAGAAAATGTTCAGTTTTTCCCAGGGAAATGTTAAATGTTTGCAGTTCCAGGTCGCTAACAGCTGCAGAAATTAGTCATCCTCAGATCATGAGATCCTACAATTTCATGGCCTTGTTCTGCGTGAATGTTTGAGGGTGCATGTGGGCTTAATCCAGGCTGAACTAGTTGAATCAAAGGGGAAGGAGGCTTTCAGTATTACTGTAGAATTTACAATTATGTAAAACTCAGTGCTTCAAAGTGTCAGACTTAGAGAAGAAAGGAGTTTGCCCAAAATTTGTGCTGCAGCACTCTTAAGCAATTTGTCTGTTTAAAAAAATAATACTGAATGTATTTAGCTCATAAGTGAAATTAACCACCTTAAAAGCATTTTTAGATCAACATGAATATATGAGGTACAGGAATCAGTATAGGAAGGGCCAGTACCCTAGCACTCTTTCATAACAATGGGTGTTCTGCTGCTGGTAGGAGGAAACGGGTGCAGTGGTGGATAGGAGGAGGTCCATTTTGCTACAGAATAAAAGTAATATCTGCGAAGTAGAAACTTTCAATACAGAATAGTTGAAGTTCAGTGGGACTACAAAAGCTATGATACAGTGAAACTTATTAACTTTTCAGTCTCATTTATCAAAGGTTTTGTAATGCCCATGTCAAGTCTGGCTTAAAAAAAAAAGAGAAGAAAGCAAATGTGTATCCTGGCGAATTTACTGAATAAACATTTTCCTATAAAAACCAGTGCAGGTCCATTAGCTCTTACTAACTCCTGTGGGTTTTGTACTTGCTGTGTATGTTTGCTGTGCTGCCATTGTTCAGATGCACTGTTGTATAACGACCTCATTGCAGACATTGTTTCCAAGATGCCCATGGTAACCTGCCACCAAATAGTGGCATTTTTTAAACTCTTCAATCAGTTGAGTGTCCTCAGAGACACTGATACTTTAAATCAGTGATACTCAGACCCGGTGGTTCAGGAGCCAACTTAGCGATCAACATTACTCAAAAGAGCCACAGTAATGTGAATTAATTGTTTCATTTACCATTTTATATGTGCGTGTGTGCGTGTGTGTGTGTGTGTATTATTCTCATAGCAAAATGACTGACCAAGTATTATTATTTTATCAACTACAATTGGTTAATAACCTAGTAAATGCATCCTGTTTGGTTTATAACTTAGTTTGATTAATAATTAAATCACACAATGTTTTAACATCATGCGCTGCAAAGAGCTGCAGGAGACACAGTAACGAGCCACTTGTGGCTCTCGAGCCTCAGTCTGTGTCATTGCTCTAAATATACCTTTCCAACTTGCTCATTCATGTAGGAACTACTTGTTTGGAACCAGTAGCTTCTCCATGAAAGGCCCCACCTATAATTCATTTCCTTTCTACCTGAGCTGTTCTCTTGTCTTCACTCTCCCCCACTCCCAGAATATAGACTACAAACTAAAAAAGTAAATCTGTTGGTGGCTTTTTATGCTGATGGTAAAAAGTTACTATAGAACAATTTAGCCCTTACTGCAAACTTTGGACCCTATTTGTGAAAACAGATTACTTGCATTACTGTGAATATGTCACATAGTTTATGTGGAAGAACAGACAGCATAGGGCAGGGGTCGGCAACGTTCGGCACGCGGCTCGCCAGGGTAAGCACCCTGGCGGGCCGGGCCAGTTTTATTTACCTGCTGACGC